GAGCTGGCTTCTCACAGCGTTCATCACACCCTGGGGGCTCTACAAATGGGTGCTTATACCCTTTGGCTTGAGTTCGGCACCTGCAGAGTTTCAGAGGAGCATGGAGTACTGTTTCGCTGACCTGAGAGACACGATTTGCCTCCCGTACCTTGATGACAAGCTGGTACACAGTCACAGCTTTGAGGAGCACTTGGAGCATATCCGTGTTATCCTTCAGCACTATAAGGAACATGGTCTGAAGTTGACCCCAAAGAAATGTAAGCTGTTTAAATCGAGTGTGAGGTTTCTTGGCAAGTTGGTGACAGGAGAGGGTTACACAATGGACCCTGCAGAGATGGCTCCAGTGATGGCTCTCAAGGAGAAGACACCTGCCACCATTGGTGAGGTACACCAGATGCTCGAGTTCCTCTCCTCTTACAGACCCTTCATCCCCAACTTCTCCCATTTGGCCCACCCGCTTTATAACCTACTCACCGCCCCAAACCCCGAAAATCACACTCTAGACCCGACCGTGAACAGGCCCAGTAAAACAGGAAAGAAAAATAATGGTCACTTACCATTACAGACACCCATACAGTGGACCAGGTCTCACCAGGAAGTGTTGAATCAGCTTGTAGAGGTACTCACAAAGCCCCCTGTCCTTGGATATGCTGACTTCACCCAGCCATTTGTATTACATTGTGATGCATCCCAAGTTGGTCTGGGTGCGGTGTTATACCAGAGACAGCAGGGGAAGATGAGAGTGCAACAGGACACAGATGGGTGGCGAAGTTGGCTGATTATAACTTCACAATCATGTACCGCCCAGGCAAAAACAACTCAGATGCAGATGGATTGTCACGGATGCCATTGGATATTGAGGACTACATGCATAGCTGTACAGCTGAGGCCAGTCAAGATGTAATCAGTCCATCTATGGAGAGGGTCGTTGCGGAAAGGAGGAATCCTTGCCGGGGCATGGGGTTGATCCAGGTCAGTGCTTTGAGCCTGGTGTAAGACGCGCACTGAGTAGTGCTTGGTTCACAATTACTAAGTTACTATGTGACCACAACTTTGGTGCAGCGGTAACTACGTGGGATTGCTTGGACCAGAAATCAGAAGACAAGTGTCGACTCACTAGAGCAAAAGGTAAGCAAAAGGTATAATAGTATTACCTATTGAATGAATGAACCCGTCTATACCTCCGATTATTAGAGCGTCTGTGGCCAAGGAGGGCAAATCAGAGAGAGTGTAGACCTTTGGGGATTAAATGCTATCCCAGAACCCTTTAGTGCCAAAAGGAACAGTGGTTTGCTCATTGTGGACGTGATGTAGAAATGAGGCGACCAGGTTGTGGGTCAAGGTTAAAGGGTAAAGGCCTTGGACGGTGGACTGCAGCCCAGCCTCAAGTCCGAGGAGCATTGGGGCCAACGCCACATTTGAACCATCTAACGTGAGAACCACACCTTTCTCCTTACCAGACTCTGACAGGCTGTGATTAATGACCTCTCTTACATAGGAAGTGACTGATGGATTTGCCACAAGGTCATGTGCATCACTGAGGTCACCGAGGTATCGCTTGATGAGCTCGGTTTCAAAGCCAGCAGCCTTACGTAGACCTTTCACCACATCGAGCATCTGAAGACCTGGATTCACAGCTTCAATGCTCTCCACAGCTCTGATGAAGTCCTTCATGTGCTTTGTGGTGGTGGCTGATGGAAAACGAGAGGGAAAAGCACAGAAAACAAGAAAATTGTAATTTTTACTCAACCACACACATTAAAGGAGTCATTTATGAGTATATAAAAAAAATAATACATTTATAGAAACCAAGCAGTAAAATCGACCCATGAGAATCCCAAATTTCACATATCTAGTAAATTAATTTAAGACAATCATAAATTTCACCGACGTCAATCATAAAATATTGCAGGTTCTTACATTTTGCCATTAATGTCAAAGCAGAGTTACACAAAGAGTCACATAAATTACTTTTACTATACTTTCATGGTACTTTATTTTATATTTTTTGACCCTATTGAAAAAAAGAGTGCTGACATTCTTCAAAGTGTCATTCATGGCCAATGAAAGTGTTTGAAATGACACTAAGGGTGAAGAAATTACATAACTGTAACTTTTGAGTGAACAAAGCATTGGTGACATATTTAGTGCTTGTACACATAAATGAACCTGCAATTATTCAGCGTAGTGACTAGAAAACTGAATATTTGACTTACCTTCAGCAGCAAACACCACAAGCAAAGAAAGAAGCAGACGCAAATGCCAATCCATGAGGACAGAACTTGAGAGCACTGAAGAGTCTCTGTTCACTCAGTCCAGTTATGCATCTACCCTGCACCTCATCCGCCTTATAAATACATGCTAACACTTATGTAAGCACATGCTGATAAACTAGTGTGTTCCATGATGTAAAGATTTAGCTTTGAGAAAGTGACAGATGCTTTCAATCTGTCTCAAATAAACTTGCAGTTGAATAAACCACCCATGATACTGATGAATATGTCAAGAATCTTCAATACTTACATCACAATAAAGTCTATTGTATTGTAAAAGTGTAAGTAAATTATGGTATAGGGGAAAAGTACACTTCATTTGAATTATACGTAACACTTTACAATAAGGTCCTAATAACATTAGTTAATAAATTAATTAACATTAACAATATTAACGTTTAAAAGATTAAGTAAATGTTTAGAAATATTTTGCATGTTAGCTAATGCAGGTAACTAATGTTAACAAATGGAACCTTATTGTAAAGTGTTACGGAATTATTCAAAGAGACTTAAAAATGAAGAAATACTATAACATCAATTTCAAACCTTTCCTTTTTATGCAATCTTAGAGGTGTTTTCTTATTGCTAGTAATGAGATTTTTTTTTAATTAGTCTAGAAAAAATAACAGTGTTAGTTCTTCTTGTGAATAAGTGGAAACTGTTGATAGATAAAGCTTCTATTTTTTTCTCATCAGCCTTTGATACGCTTCATCACAAGGTAATTTACCTTGCGATATGGTTTATCACAAGGTAAACAACATTACAAATAGAAAAATGGTTCGATTTTTTTCATGGACATTTGGTAAATTTTAAATCCTGAAATAGAGCTTGATTTAAACAACATTAGCCTTTTCATTATAAGTTATCATGGGATCAAAACTATGTTTCTATTCTATACTACTACAAATAAACAGCTGCATGTTAAATATTTGTGACCCTGGAGCACAAAACCAGTCATAAGTGGCACGGGTTGTAGCAATAGCCAAAAATACACTGTATGGGTCAAAATTATTGATTTTTCTTTTATGGCAAACATCATAAGGATATTAAGTAAAGATCATGTTCCATGAAGATATTTTGTAAATTTTGTACCGTAAAAATATCAAAACTTATTTTTTTTTTATTAGTAATATGCATTTCTAAGGACTTCATTTGGACAACTTTAAAGGTGATTTTCTCAATATTTAGATTTTTTTGCACCCTCAGATTGCAGATTTTCAAATAGTTGTATCTCGGCCAAATATTGTCCTATCCTAACAAACCATACATCAATGGAAATCTTAATGTCAAAAAACTGACGCTTAAGTTTTGTGGTCCAGGGTCACATATTGCAATGCCACATATTGCAGCTCCAAAAATTTATACTGTGGCTGTCTCAGTTTTATGCTTCTGAATCTTTTTTTTTTCTTCTTTTTTAAGATATGAATTGAAGGAATAGTTCATCCACAAATGAAAATGTCTTGTTTGTTTCCTAACCCTCATCCAAGATGTCAGTGAATTTCTGACTTTCTTTCTCCAGCAGAACAGTAGTTAAATACGATTTTTAGCTGAACCCATGGTACTTGGTGATTCACAAAAGGCAAGTTAAGGCATACAGTAACTTTGACAGTGAAGTCTTACGAAGTGAAACGATCGGTCTGTGTAGGAAGCTGAATTTTATTTACAACAGTAAATAGTAAAATGACGCCATTGTGTTTACAGCTGAATCATCATACAGTCATCCAAGATAATAAAAAAATATGTACCATTTTGATGAACAACACTAAAACCAAGGCTCCTGCACACGCGTCCCCCCTCTCTGTTGTAAACGTGGAGTCTGAGGCTGAGCACGAGGAAGAGGGGGAAACGACTCTCTCCAATATTTTGAATTTGCTGCAGTACCCATTTCAGCCGCTAGCTGTCAATATTACACACTTCACCTTTACAGCGACAGTGTAATCACATGCATCATAATCATCATCACATGCAGGAGTCACATCACCTTGAGTGGATTGAGGCCAGTATATAATCAATTTTTTTTTTTTTTTGGTGCACTATTCCTTTAACCTAGAACAGCTTGAATTAGTACATATTTATTTTAAATCTATAATTTATATATATATAGTTGTACATTATGCCATTTGTTCAGATGTAGGCCTAATATGAGGTGTAATGGATAAACACCTTGTATAATAACAAACTGACTTATTATACAAAACATACAAATTCATAATCAAATGTTAGCTGCTCTTAACCGTTTATAAAAACAGCTCCTCCTGCAGAAAAGAAAAATTGTCAAATATTTTTAAGTCATTACGAAACGTTGTTCTTGACCAATTTTACTTCCACAATGTGATAGGCCTATATGTGAAGCAGAAAATTCAGTTAATATGCTTAAATTCATCTGGAACTGGCTGACTTTAGTACTGATTCAAGCCTCCCATCAAGTTGATTTCTGATCTAAAAACATGGTAGTGAGTTGCAAGATTCAGCAGCATGAAAACACCCTGAACAAATATGTTCACTGTAAAAAATTTCCCTGTAAATTAACGGTAATATAGAGCTTCTTTGAAAGCCGCTTTACCAGCATTTTACAGTTTTATTTGTGAAAAACTATCGTCATTTCATGTACACACACACACACACACAAAAAAAAATCAAGCTTCTTCTCATCAACCCTTCAAAATAAAAGTTTGGTCTAATGTGAAGTAATTGTGACAGAAATATATCACTGTTGTACAGTAGAATATGTCGTTTTCAAAGTAATATAATAATAAATATAACAATTATAGTAATAATAATAAAAAAAATTATGTTTAAGGAATAATTACACAATTGTTCTTCCAAGTTTTAATTGTAACAGGAAGAGAAAAAAAAATCTTATTTCCTAAAAAATGTCCTAATAAATTGTTAAACTGAATAAGTTTCATGATTTCAGTCAATTGGACTTGCTATTTGATTTCTAAAATTTATTTTAACCATTAAAACAGAATTTGGAAAAATTAAAACAAAAAATAATTGGGAAAAAATAAAACGAATTTACTTAATTTCTTTAAAACGGAATTTGGGAAAAAATAAAACGGATTTACTTAATTTCTTCATGAGTGTTGTTAAATATTAAGTAGATTTTACCTGATAATGACAGGTGAGTTGTACTTTATATTAGAGCAGTAAAATTTACTTCAAATCTACTTAATTGTTACGAGGATTTTATCAAGTAAATCTAAAAAAAAGACTGCATCCTCTTCAGAGTAGTTCTCAGTGCCGCCGACGACTTGCATTTTTTTGGTCAAATATAGGTTTGTGGATATTTTATCTATAAAACCATTTCTTTGCTGTAAATTATTTCAAACTACAGGGATGCGATGTCATTCACCAATAAAGTACCATGAAAGTATAATAAAAGTAATTTATGTGACTCTTTGTGTAACTCTGCTTTGACATTAATGGCAAAATGTAAGAACCTGCAATATTTTATGATTGACGTCGGTGAAATTTATGATTGTCTTAAATTAATTTACTAGATATGTGAGATTTGGGATTCTCATGGGTCGATTTTACTGCTTGGTTTCTATAAATGTATTTATTTTTTTTGATATACTCATAAATGACTCCTTTAATGTCTGTGGTTGAGTAAAAATTTTAAAAAAATTGTTTTCTGTGCTTTTCCCTCTCGTTTTCCATCAGCCACCACCACAAAGCACATGAAGGACTTCATCAGAGCTGTGGAGAGCATTGAAGCTGTGAATCCAGGTCTTCAGATGCTGGATGTGGTGAAAGGTCTGCGTAAGGCTGCTGGCCTTGAAACCGACCTCATCAAGCGTTACCTCGGCGACCTCAGTGATGCACACGACCTTGTGGCAGATCCATCAGTCACTTCCTACGTAAGCGAGGTCATTAATCACAGCCTATCACAGTTGAGGAAGGAGGAAGGTGTGGTTCTCACGTTAGATGGTTCAAATGTGGCGTTGGCCTCAATGCTCCTCGGACTTGAGGCTGGGCTGCAGTCCACCATCCAAGGCCTTTACCCTTTAACCTTGACCCACAACCTGGTCGCCTCATTTCTATATCACGTCCACAATGAGCAAACCACTGTTCCTTTTGGCACTAAAGGGTTCTGGGATAGCATTTCTTCCCCAAAGGTCTACACTCTCTCTGATTTGCCCTCCTTGGTCACAGACGCTCTAATAATCGGAGGTATAGACGGGTTCATTCTCGGCTCAGAAGTTTCCACGTCTAACCATCGTGAGCGATCACTGAGTGACCTGCTGAAGAGTTACTACAGCCAGCAGCCTGACGCCGCAGGGTTGGACGCATCGCCCCGTCTGATCAGTCAGAAACGAAGGATGAACTTCAAAAAGCTCGTCAGCTTCTCTTTGCTGAAAAGCCAGATGGTCCAGGCTCTAACAGTTCGCCGCAACTTAAACGAGTCTGAGAGGAAGAGGCTGGATGACGTTATGAGCGAAGGGTTTGACCAGTTTGTCCATGTGTATGCTGGTAATTAAACATATTTATTTATTCTTTGATTAATTTATTATTTTAACCATTTTGTAGTAATTTATTATACAAAAAACATTTTAAATATATTTATTTAAACACATTGCCTTAATATAACAATATTTACTTTTAATTTAGTATTTTCTAAGTAATAAATAAGTAATAAAAATAATAACAAATAAAAGAATCCAAACATTAAACTGACTGGATTATTTTTACAATTTAACTGTTTATTTTACATTCTTTTACTGTTAAAATTATATTTTTACATAATTAAATATATATGTATATATATTTACTTATTACTTATTTTTTAAATATTGTATATTGATATAAATACATTTTTATATTATTTCTTATAATTTTTTACAATGCCTCAATTATTTTGCGATTTTAAACTGTGGCTTACATTCTTTTACTCATAAAATTATGATTTTTAAAAAAAAAATAATATCATTCAAGCACTACCAAGCAAACCACTTTTTTTTTGTTGACAAATTTACATTCTTTTAATTGGAAATTTGCACTTTTGTGTTCACCTTTAATCATTTTTTTCTTCCCAAAAACAGTCTGTCCCAACATCATTACAAGGTCTCAATGGGGAGCTGCTGCTTTCATTGGTTCTCCCTCCTATCTGTCTCTCCCTGTGCCGTACCTTTTCATCCACCACACATATCAACCCTCCAAGCCTTGCACCACCTTTGATCAATGTGCCAGTGACATGCGCTCCATGCAGCACTACCACCAGCAAACCAATGGATGGTCTGACATTGGATACAGGTTAGGAAATTTCTGGTTTGTTAGACAACATTCTGTACCATAAAGCCCTTTCAACTGAGTTTCATGTGCTGTACAGAATTATTGCAATTTAATTTCTAATAACTATTGTCGTTTGCTTGTAGTTTTGTTGCAGGTTCTGATGGAAACCTGTACGAAGGCCGAGGCTGGAATTGGATCGGTGCCCACTCTTACGGGTACAACTCCATAAGCTATGGCGTCTGTTTCATTGGAGATTATACCTCCACCCTCCCCATCAAGAGTGCGATGGACATGGTGCAGTACGACTTCACAAGCTGCGCTGTGAACGGAGGCCGACTGTCCTCATATTACAACTTATACGGACACAGGCAAGCCGATTCCACAGAATGCCCAGGAAACTCCCTCTACCGTGAAATCCAGAATTGGGCTCATTGGGAGGTAAAAAGATTGTTGATTCTTGGGATTTATTGTATTTATGAAGTTCTGACTTCTCAAAATGCATTGGTAACAGTTCAGACCATAACGGTGTCTCTGTGTGTGTTTCTCTGCGTTTCTCTACAGAGCTATTTGCCTTGATGACTGTGGCATCAACAATGAACAACTAATTGTGTCTCTGGAAAACAGTACATGTATTACATGTATCACTAATAAATGCATAATAAAAATCATATTTATTGTTTCTTTTTTTCACATGACATGAGAAATGTTTCTTGTCAAGTAATTTAAGGCAAACTGGCAAAATCAAACTTTCCTTGAATTATTTTGGTCAAAAGAAAAGTTCCTTTACAAAATGATAGTTCAAGTACATTATTCTGATCACACCAACTATTTTTTACATTGTTAGAATATAATCAGCAAATGTAGCCTAGCTAAAATGATTTTGTTTATTCACAAAACTAACTATGCTGCGGTTAAAGTTAAAACAGTGTTTTTAATCAATTCACCATAAATGCAGCTTGATTTTACTTATATATTTTTTATATTTCTAAACTTTATATTAAATAATTGCAGAGCTTTGAAAGTTCTCTAAGGCATTTTCGTGCTAAAATATGAGTAGTTACACTATTTGCGCATATTAAAGTCATCTATGTACATGACTGAACATTGCTAATGTTTAGACATATAGATAGACAGACGGATATATTATTATTAGCCTAGTCTGTCACGCAAGTGACTGATTTTACATAATCATATAGCAGAATTAGGCCTATAAAAATCTTATAAAACATATATTATGTATAAATACTACATTTTTACATAAAAATATTTTCTGTTTTACAGTTTTATATGTTTAATGTGTATTTAAAAGTATTATACAGTTTTGAACTTTGAGCATTTTACATTCTTTTTAGTCTTAAAATTAATGCCATTTTGTCATCTACGCGCTTTATGTACTGAAGTAGTCCGCGCTCCGCACCGCGCACGCAACAACGCCGCTGTTAGCGCACTGATCAGGTTGTCGTTCATCTCTCAACCTGCTGTGAAAGAGTTACAGCGTGGCTGATACACAAACTCCTTTCCCCTCCCCACCAACGTCACCATCCCTCCGAAACTAACAACATGGAGTCCGGTGTTTAGAGTGCAAAGGCGGTCTTCAGCGTTTGCTAAACCTATATGCTTTTCCCGGTGCTCCTGAGGGAAGGCAGCGACGCTCCGGGACGCATAAAGCGCAACGCACACATGCTCTATAAGCGTCAGTGCGTGTGTACCACTTGAATCCATATAAGACATGGAGAGCGCGACGTGATTGGACGCAGAAGATTCCAAAGACAGGCCGCTTTCCGTGAGTGTTGCACAATTCCATCCTCGCCGCACACATCCAGAGAGATGTTTAACAGATTGTGTTCTTGGAGAAGGACGGCGTTTGCTGATAGTCCAGTCTTGACATCGCAAGTTATAAACGCATGCAAACTGCATAGACGAGCCCCATTATTTCGGGAGCCGGTATATTTCCCCCCCCCAGTAAAAACGGCCTCCTTCGATATTATCAGCATAGGAAATGAGGCACGATAAAATAGGTCAGGCAGAGTGACACTCCTCAGGAATTAAACACAAAGATTTTAGTTATTAAAATGCACTCTTTCAAAGGTTGGATAGCACAGAACACTATAGCTAATTAATCACCAAATTAACCTCTCGAGTTTATAAACATCTTGCAAGTTTTCTTCTAATCTAGAGGTTTTCTTTAAAGATCCCATAATAATTTGACTTTTGAGGCTTCAGGTCCATGTCTATGCTTGCATAAGGTCAGGTTGCATCTTAGTTGTTTGTATTTTTGTCCAGAAATGGAATTGCTCTTCATAATGTAGGAAAGGAGAGGTGGACAGCAGTTGTACCCAAGCTAGTGCACCAGGGGACCATGGAACCTGAGGAGGATATCTCGACCAGGGAGCCCCAAGATCTGATGTCCAGCCAAGGGCTACTGCCTTCAACATCCACCTCCTTACTCAGCTGCACATTCCTGGTATAGTCAAGGCACCTACCAGTTCACCTACTTATACTGTGCCCTAAAAATATGTATTCTTTTTGTGAAGAAAAATACATACTTTTGAGTATGTAGCGTAGTAGTAGACAAGCTTTGGGACATACTAGTTCATCATAATTGTGTTACTTAGTTACATACCTCTGTTTAAACTGCCCTGTCAATCATCTTCTCACAGTTAAAATCCTCCACATTAAGTTTCATTTAATTTCCTTCCATATTATAAATGAAGCAGGCATGTTGATCTGCCAGTCCCAGGTCTGTTGTGCCAATCGCTCTCATGTGTTTGCATAATGACGCATTTATATCCGCCATGTTTGTAGTTTTTTTTTTTTTTTGTTACTTTTTATTTGTGTTTGTACTGTAGATACTAATTTCAACATATATTTAAGACACACTAATTCTATTTTGGAATAGTATTATTCAGGAAGGATAGTATGCAATTTGGGACACAGCATTTAACTCCCCTTTTTCTTTTTGGATTAATTTATTCACTTTTGCAATGAAAGAAGAAAACAGACTTAGCTTATAGAAAATAAACATTATAACTATACTATAACTATAAAATAGAAAATAAACTGTTAAGCTCCTTGCACACTGAGTCCAAAATTTTCGTCCAAATTTTTCGCACGTTAAAAAATAAATACGACCTCACGTTGTGTCAGTCATGTTTACACACTGCCTCCGAAACTTTCGTCCGTCATAAAAAATTCGGATCAGGTTCCAATCGCTCTCATGTGTTTGCATAATGACGCATTTATATCCGCCATGTTTGTAGTTTTTTTTTTGTTTTGTTACTTTTTATTTGTGTTTGTACTGTAGATACTAATTTCAACATATATTTAAGACACACTAATTCTATTTTGGAATAGTATTATTCAGGAAGGATAGTATGCAATTTGGGACACAGCATTTAACTCCCCTTTTTCTTTTTGGATTAATTTATTCACTTTTGCAATGAAAGAAGAAAACAGACTTAGCTTATAGAAAATAAACATTATAACTATACTATAACTATAAAATAGAAAATAAACTGTTAAGCTCCTTGCACACTGAGTCCAAAATTTTCGTCCAAATTTTTCGCACGTTAAAAAATAAATACGACCTCACGTTGTGTCAGTCATGTTTACACACTGCCTCCGAAACTTTCGTCCGTCATAAAAAATTCGGATCAGGTTCGATTTTCTGCGTTTTCGCATCCGTAACAAGCATTTTGATAGGAAATGATGACGAATACGACAAAAAAATCTAAAAAAACGCATACGAAAATTTCGGACTCAGTGTGCAAAGACCTTTACTCTATGAATTTAAAAACTATGTGGGAGCCATTGCTTTGATACAGTTTAATACTTTTTAATTATATTTTACAGTGATTATATACATTTTTGATTCCTATCTTTTAACAATCAGTGTACACCTGTGTGAGAATCGTGCAACATTTAATTCTTCCCTAAACAGAACTATGTAATGTTGGACTTGTTTCAACCCTCTGAACTCACAGGGGGGGTTATTGCATTGTGATGACATGGAGAAGGGTGATGGAAATGGAGATTCAGATGGCCCAAAATGCTTTTTCCCCACACTGGAGCATTGTAGTAAAGTACAGAGAAGTCCACGATCTTCAGCCTTCCCCTCATCTCTCACATGGGACTCGGACTCGGAGAAAGAAACCTTGGACGGTAATTGTCTCTTTAGTTCATTCTTACTTTCAAGTCAGTGAAAAATGCATGTCTGAATCATACACTCTCAGAAAAAAAGGGTACAAAAGCTGTCACTGGGGCAGTACTTTTTTAAAAAGGTACACGTTTGTTCCTTTTAGGTACTAATATGTACACTTTATGAACTAATATGTACCTTTAAGGTAGCAATATGCACTCTTTAAGCTTTTGTACCTTTTTTACTAAAAGTGTAAGAAACTCAGACCGACTAGAAATGAGAATCTGCAATGATTCAGCTAGTTTCAGAACTATTCTGTGTTTGTACTGTGAAACTCGTCTCTCTGTGAACAGTGTTAATGGTTTGTCTACATGCTGTAAATATAACTGTGAGTCTACTGCTTTCTGTGTGGATTCCAATGGTTTATGTCAGAGGAAGAACTTCAGCACTTTTCTAACCCTCATGGTCTGGCTGCTCACAGCCCAGGAAGTCCCACCTCTGGACAACAAGAAGACAGGTGAGATACAGATGATCATTCGGAAAAACAGGTTTATAGAAAAGTGCATTCATCAAGTTTTTTTTTTTTACATTGAAGGGTTTGATGGAAATAGATATTAAGCTGTAACCTATTCATCCATTTTTATCCTTATGCTTGCAGATTTGACATTGATCCGTGCCAAGAACCTGTGGAAACCAAGCACTTATTTCTTGAGAAGATCCCACTTGCCCCCCTGAAGGTGGAGAATCAAGGAGATGTTACATACAAGGAGACGAAAACTACAGACTCCAGCCTATCTAAACGTACAGCAAAACGTAAAAAAAGCTTGAAGTACCTCAATGCATGTTTTGATTCATGTCAATAACACCCTGTCATATATATATTAAAAAACTACTTAAGTCAATAAAGCCTTTTGCTGTTTACTTGCAGTGGAACAAGACAAAGTGAGCCATCTACCAGATACTGCACCAAAAGAGGGATGCCAAAAAGACAAGAAAGATGAGCAGAAAATGCTTAATAGTAGAGGGCGAGAAGAGAAGATCACCAAAGAGCCAGATGTATACACCTTCCCAGGAGACTCTGAGCCAGAAAGTCCACCACCTGGACCTTGGGCACACTGCACCTTCATCCAACGCCGAAGAAAGAAGAGGGCCATATTGAGGCCTTTCTCTGGCTTAGACACTTGGCAGCGCACAACGGGAGCCGGCAGGAAGACCAGAGGAAAACCCTCAGGAGCAAAGGAGCGTAAGAAAACCACAAAGGTTGGGGAAGGGATGTTTGAATTTAAAAAGGAAAAGGAAGAGAAGGTACGGGGAAGACAGTGGTCAGTAGTAGAGCACCAACTGGATGGAGACCTCTCACAAGAGATTTTTACATGTGTAGAATGTAGCATTTACTTCAAAAAACGCACCCATCTACTTGAACACATGCAAGAGCATGGCCAGGTTGGTAGATCTGGGAAGAAATGGCAATGTGGAGAAAAAGACTCTACGAGTGGACATCTTAATAAAAATGCTTTTGAATGTATAGAGTGTGGTCTGGAGTTTGTAGATGAGGTACTCCTGCTAGATCATCAGCGATGCCATGAGGAGTCACGGCAGAAAATCCTTGAAGAGATTGGAAAATTAAAAGAGGGGGATAAGCAGGTGGCAGAGCAAGCCAGTTGCAGTAAGGCATCAGAGCCAGCCTACCAAGAGTCAACAGATGTTAGTCAGTTTGTGTGTCTTAAGTGCAATTTTAGCTCTGATTTGCCTCAAGAACTCGCTGACCATGCCAAGACGCACAACACTCGAACAAGAGCTGGTGTCTATCGAACCTCACCCCGCTTTCAACAGAAGTCCTGCAAGAAAGGACAAGTTCAGTCCTCTGCAGATATTACGCCAACTCTTGTCACATCACCTCTCAACAAGAGGTACCCCATCCGGGCATCCAAAAAATCTAAAGAAACACAGCCCGAAAGTGGCACTTCACAGGTGGACTCTAGTTCGTTGTCTTGTCAAAGTGCTTCTGCAACCCCAGGAGAGGCCACAGAGCAACCTGATAATACAACTCTGCACGAAAATACAGAGCCTGCGGAGGAGTTGAGACAAACAGAAGAGCCCAGGGCAACTGTGGATAATCCTGTGGAAGAGAATGTTCCACAACCTCAGCATCTCATGTCGTCTCCGCCAAATCCCAGGGCTGCTCCGCGGCGTAAGGATGTGGCATTCAAGAGTATAGGGAATAAACGCTCAGTCCGGGCCGCGAGGGGTAAACTGGGGCGCACAAGAGCGAGTACAAGACTAGATCCTAAGTCCACCCTTACTCCCGTTATGAAAAAACAAGTCCAAATCTCAAACCAGACCGAAGATAAGTGCCAGAAAGAAGACATTCCAACACCAGAACCAGAACATGATCCAAAACAAGACTCCAAAACAGGTAAGTTAATAACAGGTTATTACACCAAGACAAGTCAGTGCGTAGCCTTGTAGCTAAACTGGCAAGGTGGTAACAATGGCAAGACTTCAGTGCTCAGAGAACAGTAATATACACACTGTATACAACTTGAATGCCCTAAAAGTTGCTCAGATACATTATACTTACCAGTGCAACATTTACATACTGAAAAAGAGAGGCTGAAAATTTTTATAAACTAATGATATATTTACTACTAAATTGTTAATGTATTTTCAGAAAGGTCTGCATTTTTCATCAATTTCTCACCGTCTCTTTATAACATTGTCACATGAAATAATACTGTCATTAACCACCTCAATAGAACAATGAGAATTTGCTTTCACAATTCCAATTTCATATAGGCAAATCTGAATAAATACATTACCTGTACCGTCTTTTGTCTTGTAGTGAAGCATGTATATGTGTGTGTGCACTACATGTATTGTTGTGTTATTGTGATGCCTGGATTTGATGTGCCAGAACCATCCTTAAACCAATATTTGTGTAGTGCAACTCCCTGTTTGAGTGACCGCTGGTTAAAGGAGTGTAGTGACTCTCCCCATTCCATTGGCCAGTTATAATTGTGAGGTGTTACTTCCTGTTCCATTGGCCGATGCTCACTATTAGCCACTGTTGGTGGTGTACAGACTTTCTTTCTTAAATTTTTATTGTAGGAGAATAACCTCCTACAACCCAGTTAACCCAGTCAGTGGCAATAGTCATCAGGACCAATACTTGAATGGAGGGCAAATGGCAAGCCTTGAAATTCTAGAAGTTCACTTGAGTCATGCTTGGCCATAAACTTGGGGAAATCCAAGGTTTCACCCTGGTCTGAACCTGGTCCCTTCCCCTGCAGACTCTGTGGAGGTACCTGCCCTGGCCTTGCAACTGAAGAGCAGCTGCTCAGCCAGCCTCCAAGGGGAAGCAGAGAGGCTGGGGTTGCTTGAGGGGCAGCAAGCCCAGCTAAGAAATGAGTTACCCCTCATCCACATAGAGTCTCTCAGTTCTGACCTCCAAACTCCCCTCTCATGCAGCAGGGTGATGGGTGAGTGATGAGCAGAGCCACAGAGATCTTAAACGGTTGCAGAGTAGCCAGGCCAAACTGTTCCTTTTGTATACAATGAGCCCAAAAATGAGAATTATGTCATCATTTACTTACCATCATGTTCCAATCCCATATGACAATCTTTCTTCCATGGAACACAAAAGGAGAAATTCTGACGGACATTCACAACACTTTTTACTTTTTTGGAGCAACTTTTGTTGTATAGAAAAAAGTAGCATGGACATTCTTCAAAATATCTTGTTTCATGTTTCGTAGGAAGTCATTCAAGTTTGGGACAACATGAGGGTGAATAAAAGATAACAGACTTTCCATTTCGGTCAACTATTCCATTAACTCAGCTTGTCACCATTATCATTGCATCCCAGATACATTTTGTTTGCATTTAACCATTAAATTGTGCAATACTGGTCTTGATTGTATTTTTCTTTTTATAACTGTTGAACACTGTAACACTCCACATTAACCCCACCCCACCCCAGAGACGGAGCCACCTGCCAGTGATCCTGATCTCAAAGCCAACTCCTCCTCGCCAAAGAAGAACAGCAAAAAGCTTGAAGCACAGGAGGAGGAACCCAAACTCAAAGAAGACAAATCTGATAGTCAGGAGAAGAGCGGAGAAGACACACTTGTTGCTGCAAAACTAGAGGATGATGATGATGATATTGATGATGACGAAGATGAAGAGGATGTTGTTAGTCGTCTTATTGATGCATTAACTGAGGAAGATGATGAAGATGATGATAGAGAGGGGTTGTTGAAGAATGTGGAAAGAAAATGCCCTTATTGCCCAGATCGATTCCATAATGGCATTGGTCTAGCCAATCATGTTAGGGGTCACCTGAACAGAGTGGGTGTCAGTTACAATGTTAGGCACTTTATCTCTCCGGAAGAGGTCAATGCCATTGAGAAGAAATTCTCCTACCAGAAAAAGAAGAAAAAAGGTGAGGATGCTTTTAAATGTAAATGTAACCTTGTTAATGTTTATTAACTTTATGTCTCATTAAAGTTTAATTGCCTGCTACACAGAACCAAAGGCTTGTTTTGACGCTCTTCTCTCCATTGCTACCTCTAGTTGCCAACTTTGACCCATCGACCTTCAGCGTAATGAGATGTGAGTTCTGCAGTGCCGGCTTTGACACCAGAGCTGGTCTCTCCAGTCATGCCCGAGCCCATCTCAGAGACTTTGGCATCACCAACTGGGAAGTCACGCTTTCTCCCATTAATATTCTTCGAGAGCTTTTTGCCAAGCATCCAGATCTTGTTCTACCCACTGCACCCACTCATACTCTCCAGTCAAGTCACCTTGTTAATGTTTATTAACTTTATGTCTCATTAAAGTTTAATTGCCTGCTACACAGAACCAAAGGCTTGTTTTGACGCTCTTCTCTCCATTGCTACCTCTAGTTGCCAACTTTGACCCATCGACCTTCAGCGTAATGAGATGTGAGTTCTGCAGTGCCGGCTTTGACACCAGAGCTGGTCTCTCCAGTCATGCCCGAGCCCATCTCAGAGACTTTGGCATCACCAACTGGGAAGTCACGCTTTCTCCCATTAATATTCTTCGAGAGCTTTTTGCCAAGCATCCAGATCTTGTTCTACCCACTGCACCCACTCATACTCTCCAGTCAAGTCAAGAGCAAAACTCTGATGAGGAGCAAGAGTGCAGGAAAGACATGAAGGATGAGGAGAACATGATAGCAGAACCCACCACTCTTTCTTCTGACTCTCCAAAACGGCACTGGAAGGATTAATGGCTGTGTGTTTGAGTTATTTTGAGGGGACAGCAAATTTACACTGTTATACAAGCTGTACACTCACTACTTTACATTGTAGCAAAGTGTCATTTCTTCAGTGTTGTCACATGAAAATATATAATAAAATATTTACAAAAATGTGAGGGGTGTACTCACTTCTGTGAGATACTGTGCGTGTATGTGTGTGTATATATATATATATATATAAGAAGTATTTAAAAGTCTGCATTATTTTTGTCACTACTCAAATGCAAGCTTTTTTGTACAAACGGTCAGATATTCTTTGATTCTACTGAAGCACAGGATGGTCTTTGAAACTTTGTAAAGTCATGCTGGATAATAACTTAAGGAACTATTACACACACTTGTGGAGTCCATGCTAGTGCATGCTGTTATCAAAGCAAAGGGGGATATAGAAAATTGATTGTTTAAAAAAATATTGAAAGTCATAATATAATTTGTGTTGGAAATGGTTGTAGGCCTACTGCATTAGCAAAAATGCAAAATCTCTAGTGGGCTCAGACTGGTTTAACTTTTGATCACTTTTTTGTTTCTCAGTTATTTTTTTCTTGATGTTTAGATGTTTTAACTCGCTTTTCAAAGGTTAACGAGGCAATACAATAAGTGTGTATTACTTACTCATGTTACTTTTATATTAAATAGCCTTTACCTGATCTGCTTTGTGGTCAGAAGTTCAAAATAAACTAAAGGAAACCTCAAAAGCTTGTGCATGCCTTGGGGTTTTTGTAATGCTGTCAGGAGCAGTTGTGAAAGCAGCTGTAAAGCTTTTTGTATGGTGCAGAACACGTTCTTAATGCAATCTTCATTAATGTAATTGATGTCTGGCATTTAATATTTTGCCTAGTCTCCGCCTTTATTCGGTTCGTCACGACTTGGTGCGTTAGTGCATGTGTGCGGGGCAAAATGGCTGCTTCCATCTCCCCGCAGACACAAACAATAGCGGAAAAATTGTCTGACTGTAGGTGCTGTAATAAGTCCGATGCGCTGCAGCCGCTGAATGGTGAGTGCATGCACTTCCGCGCCGTGCATGGGGATGCGTGAGAGATGCATATGCTCGGAGCCTCGCCACTTTTAAAGCTTGCATGGCATGCAATCGTGTTAACATTTAAGACAAGCTCCTGTCATACCCGATGTGCGTTTTAAATCACTGATGCCAAGAATGGTCCAGTTACAGAGTGCACGTACGAAAGCGACTCATTCCCCTGCTGCCTTAACAGTTTTCGATCTGAAAAGTCACGATATGTGACATTTTGCGCTCAGGCGCTTAATAAAGGCAGTTTTTGATGTCCTGTCAAAATGACGGCTTTTTTTTTTCAATGCATAGCCTATGTCTTTATGATTCTCGAAATTAGGCTGAGTCTTCGCCATTTTACTTCAGGTGCTTTTTTTAATGTTGAAATGAAATGGAGCGCGCCAGCTCTTTTTTCTTGGTTATTTCTTTTTGCGCTCAGGCGCTTAATAAAGGCAGTTTTTGATGTCTGTCAAAATGACGGCTTTTTTTTTTTCAATGCATAGCCTATGTCTTTATGATTCTCGAAATTAGGCTGAGTCTTCGCCATTTTACTTAAGGTGCTTTTTTTAATGTTGAAATGAAATGGAGCGCGCCAGCTCTTTTTTCTTGGTTATTTCTCTTTCCTCGCACTTTCACAAAACATTTTGAAAAGAAAATATCAGCGCTACTTGTTTTCTTTTACGCTGTCCTGAATAAGTTATTAAACGGTAGTTTTTCGTGTTTAACTTATTGCATTTAATGTCTTTTTTTCTCTTTATTGTCTGGTTATTTTATGGAGTATGCCATTACAGTGAATTTTCATTTTCAGTCTGAGCAGAAAAAGGGCTGATGTTGCTAGAATTGTGTCTAGGACGGATCAAATGACAGAACAGAAACGCCCACCGCAGGAACGCGTTCACAGCTTATTATATTGAATATGCTGAGAAGAGCAAGACCAGCAGGAGCTTCAAAAGAAAATCACTGTGTGCTGCTTGAATGTAGACCTGCTGAATTTACCTCTGGAGTGAATAAAGTATCAGTCTGTATATATGTTCATCTAATAGTTAGTCTCGAGAAATCAAAATTAAACAACTTTAAGTCAGACAAACCTGTTGTTTTATAATCTATTTGGTTGCTGTTAGTCAGCATTACTAGTTACTTTTCTAGTTTTATCGCCAGTTTGTCCATTTTAAAAACTCTCAGTCATTAAGTTTAATTGCTGCCAATAATTGCAATCAAAGAGCCGTGAAAGTTGTGCAGGACAAGATTTAGCAGGGTGCTGGGGTGGGCTGTTCCCCCTTTTAACATTTTCTCTGTGCAATATGGTGCCTGAGAGAGAGAGAAAAAAAGAGGTAGAAATAGTTGTTTAGTCACAGATGAATTTGTTACATTTATGGCAAAAAAATTGGGAGACTGTAATGTCATTATTGGACCAAAATATGATTGGAAATTGTACAGTGTATAATCTCAAAGGAAAATAATTTATGTGAATTTTAAGGGCTATTAGAAGGTTGAAATTATTTATGTTCAAATTCCTTCGCTGAAATTGACATCAAACTATATATTTTGTGATAATTTTGTGATGATTTTGTGCCTTATAAGTTACTGACCCCCATAATAAGGAAAATATTTAGCAGATGTCTTTTAACAGATAATATTACAGAATCACCTGGCCAGGTAATTAAGCATAAATTAATTACAAATATTTTTATTTTATTTATTCTGTGCATTAGATGAAGGTAAAGCTAGTTACAGTTTGTTTAAAGGAAACATTCATTTGAGACCTTGGTGGGTTTGACTCTACAATTAGCTAATTAAAAAAATGTTGTCTCTGTCTATGCATATAAAGATGGGGAGGAGGCAGAGGATGGGGAAGAGGAAGAAGAGGAGGCCCAAATGCCTGTTACAGATAAATTGGCCGCAAGTCCAGGAGAAAAGACCCTGTTCTCTATTGAGGAACAGAACCCTGAATCCAAAGAGACAGACGCTATGGGTAATATGAATTTTAGTCTTTTAATCTACTTTCAAAATAATAGCTCACCCAAAAATCAAAGCTCCATCATCATTTACACACATTGTGATGTTTAAAATCTGAGAATATTCTTTAAAAATTCACCTTTTGTGTTCCACATAAATTCATAAAGCTTTGGAATAACCTGATAGTGAGTAAATATAGACAGAAATTGTAATTTATGGATGAAGTAATCCTTTAAAAACATCTGAATTTGCTAGTGTTAATTGTATGAACATGAATATTTGAGCTGATGGGATGTTGTTACATATATTTTTCCTTATTAATCTGGTCTGTCACCTTGATTTTCTGTCTCTTTACATGACATTTTACAAACATTAGTTTTGATTTCCACAGTGGAGAGTCAGTAAAGGTCTATTAACTCTGCTTAGTGAATAAACTGAAAAAATTTGGTTAGAAGTCCCATCTATCAAAATGCATAAGATAGGTCTTGAATCACCATTTCTCTGTTTTCCAGGCTCTAACCTGTTGAAATGTGAGTTTTGTGGTGCTGCCTTTGAGACACGTCGTGGTTTGTCTAGCCATGCCCGCTCTCACCTACGCCAGCTCGGCATCGGCATGTCAGAGAACAGTGGCGCACCCATTGATCTCCTCTACCAGATCACTAAGGAACGCTCCATTGATGCACACTTCACTAGCACCTCCCCTACTGTGGAATCTCCTAAGAAGCTCCAGCACCATGCCCCTATTGTTCCTATACCTAGCCCCACAAAAGATGTTGAAACTGAAGAAGGACTGCTGGACACCAAGCCCCTTGTCCCGTTCTCTATTGCGGGTTCCGCTATTAAAGTTTCCTCTTCCCCAACTACTCACTCTGCAGCTGGCTCCCTGCCTTCCTCTCCATTTGTAAAGTCTCGGTCCCCTTCCCCAGTGCTGAGAAAGGCTCCCATCTCTTCCCTCCTACCCGTGTCTTCCCCACTGCGATCCCAGGAGCATAAGACCTTAGGAAAGAACCAGTCTACAAACCTCTCCAGTCCGAACAAACCATTCTGGGCACCGCAAGAGTCGGATGCCCCATTGAATCTTAGTAAGAAAGCATTTAATGTACTAAATACTAATAAATAATTTCAACAAGTTGTTTGTGATTTGTTTTTGTTGTCTTGTGGTCATCAATTTGTTCTTTTTGCGTTTTTATTGTCTGTCCTTTTTACAATCTCTTTAATTTTTCTGTTCCTCTCACACTCCTTTCTAGCAATGGACATGGACTCTAAAGACATTATTTGCAAGTTGTGTGGTGCGTGGTTTGAAACAAGAAAAGGCCTCTCGAGTCATGCTCGTGCCCATTTGCGCCATTTTGGGATTGAGTACTCAGAATCCAAGGGCTCCCCCATTGACTTACTCAATCGGTTCATCTTGACTGATGATTTTAAGCACAGAGCAAATTCTTTTCTCTCAGACGGTCCAGAAGACCTGAGGTCCCACAAGACCAGCATGACATCCCTCTTACCCTCCACTTCCACTTCCCCTAAGAGATCTCTTCACTCCAGCCCTGTCCTATATAAAACAGCAACCTCTTCTTTGAGGACAACAATTGGCTCCAAAGCTACCTCCTCTTCTACACATCCCTTATTGGGCCCACCCCCAAAGAAGCTGAAACCCTCCTCGTTACAGGTCCTTCGTTTCAGTAGTGGGGAAGTGATGTCCTTTCCTATAGGTAACAACTTTTATGTGTTTTTGCATGTCCTTGTCTATTGTTTACATCCTCAATTATGTAAGGTAATTTACACACCTAAACTGACTTAAGTCTGATAAATTGTTCTCTACCAGAGCCGATGAAAGACGTGGGCTGTGAATTCTGCGGAGAACTTTTTGAGAACCGCAAAGGCCTCTCCAGTCATGCTCGCTCCCATCTGCGCCAACTTGGGATCACCGAATGGTCTGTGAATGGCTCACCTATTGACACACTAAAAGAGATTATAGTCCGTCGAGGCCTACCGTCCATCATACCTCTGAAGTCCCCCAAATCCCCCTCCTCTTCTCCGAGTCCTGGACTGCCTCGGACCGCAGTCCAGTCCTCTTCCCCACCAGGGAATGTGCTTGGGCGCCTGCCTTTCCATTTTGCCCAAACTCCAAGCCATGACCAGCCTGCTACCCGCAAAATGTCTCCTTCGACATCTACTACCAGTTCTTACCCAACCGTAGAGCTGGTTAAACCGAAACCAGAGCCTGAAATTGTAGAGGTTACCATGAAAGGATCAGACATGGGAGTAAATGAAAGCTACAACCCAGAGCCACTACATTCCAGTTTAAACACTTCAGATACTGTTTATCCAGTCAACTTGGGTATGTTTTTCTGTTTTCACAGCTGTGATATGTGTTTGTTTGTTTACCCTTAGCATTTTCAATGATCTTAATGGATGACTGAATCCTTCCCAGCTCAATCTGTAGTCTTTTTATTGTTTTCCTCCTACAGTTATGACTCAGGAGAAGGAACCTTCCCGTGATATTCGCTGTGAATTCTGTGGCGAATTCTTCGAAAACCGCAAAGGCCTCTCAAGCCACGCACGTTCTCACTTAAGGCATATGGGTATCACAGAGTGGTCTGTGAACGGCTCGCCAATTGACACACTGTGGGAAGTCATGAGGAGACAAGGCACTACCCCTGCATCTGTTGCCTTGGGCATAAAGGAGGAACCGGGTCAGGATGGTGGGATTTCATTGAACAGTCCAGGCTATCAGTCCTCTGCCCTGTCCCGCAAGTCACCTCTTAACCTGCTTCACTCTGGCTCGCGTCTTCATAAGCATGGGCTGGGAAGCGTTGCCTTGTCCTCCACCTCACCTGTGGGGAAGATTTTTGGAGTGCCTCCTCTGAAGAAGAAGGTGCTGGTGGAGGAGGGACAGCCAGGAGAGAGAGCACTGCTCATCCAATCTAAAAACTTCTCGCCTCCCCCACAGGACTATTCCTTTAAGGGTAAAGCCTCAGTGGAGAAGCATGTGGTAGGCCACATGGGTAAGTTTATATATTTGCCTGACTCCTTATTTGGTTCTTTTCCATGACATTGTTTGAAGACTATTTGTAGTGCATTGCCTGTGTTGCTTCCATGTTTGCAGAAGAATGACTCTCAAGTAAATAAAAGACCCCAATTCAGAATTCCAATACTTAAAATAGATTCAATCATGTCAGTGGTTATAAGTGAAAAATGATATCAAAACTGACCCTATCTTTAGATGTTTCTGGTCTTATTGTGAACTACTCATTGTTTGCATGTTTGGCACAATATTTATTGGTTTCCTTGTTGTGCGAATAGTCTCAAGAACAATGTGACTTCATCTTTTTGTTTTTCCTTTTCAGATGCCAGTTGTGAACTCTGTGGATTCTACTTTGAGAACCGGAAGGCACTGGCCAGTCACGCTCGAGCACATTTACGACAGTTTGGCGTGACGGAGTGGTGTGTAAATGGTTCGCCTATCGAGACGCTGAGTGCCTGGATACGCAGCCGTCCACAGAAGGCAGCAGAGATGCAGCAAAGTTATGCACAAGGAGCCCGCTATGCCCAAAAGAAAGTATGAAAGCAACTGGAACAATTTTGTGATTCTTTACTACCCTGCCCAGTCATTGCAATTCTGTGGTGTCTTGCTGTGAAAATTTGAAAAGCTTGCTTTTTAATATAAATTGAAATGGCTGTAATCTTTTGCAGAGGTGCAGTTCCACTCTCTCACCATCCTGTGACTCTGACTCTACAACTCCTGTTTCCCAAAAGCCCGCTGTGGCCAAATGGGCATCTCTCACTTTGCCTCAAAAGAGAGCAATTGGACGGGATGTCAACAGTTGTTCCTGGGGGTTGTCATCACGGGGAACTGACGCAAAAAGCAGGAGTGGAAGTTCCACTCAGCATGGCCTTATTCCACAGCCTGGAGCTCATCATTCCAATAATGCACTTCCACATGCGCAGGTGGCGCATAGTGAACTCAACGTGCGTTTGCCACGAGGTCTGAGCACATCTTCACCTCGATCTCTTCCTATCCCTTTTCTTCTATCTGCCTGGAAAATTATACCTAAGCTACCATTTTCTTTCTCTTAAGGATTTGAAAGACGGCCACTTAAACACCCATCACATGCTGAAGGAGGTGAGGGAGAGAGTGGCCCCCCAAAGCCTCGCTCCAGTACCGTTCCTGCCCTTGTGCCAAAGCCCCCCTCCACCCCACTGGTTAGACTTGTGGGTAAAATTTACTCACTCAAGTGCCGGTGAGTTGTGTATATTCTGTACTTGGATATTAGATCTGTTCCATAACCTAGTGAGCTGCCTTGATATCTTGACTGCCTACTAGCATGCTAACCAAAAAGGAACCTTGTAAGTGTTCTGTTTTAGAACAATCTAGAATGGTGGAAATTCCATGTGCTACGCAACCAGCACTTCTCACTGGCCCGACTTGCAACTAAGGCTACGTTTACACTAGTGCGAATGTGGGCAGCCACGCCATTGTTTTAAAAAGTTTCTGTTTTGGTTTGTTTACACTGAAACGCAACCTCTGAGTTTTCAAACGAAAATGGGGTCTGCTGCGTTTTTGAAAGTCAGTTTTTGGGGATAGAAAATGCCGGAGTAGTGTAAACAACAGGCATAGTGTAGCAAAAGTTATGCATTTTAAAACAAAAACTCACTAGTGTAAACGTAGCCTAATTGCAGTTAGCAAGCATGTTGCTAAGCTAATAACATGATACGGCAATAAATATAAAGAATGTATAATACACATAAATACTGGATAGACTAGTCTACTTTTTAACATATTTGTTTTGATACTTTTCTCTGTTTAGTAAAATATATTTATAATGACATTATCTACAATTGTAGCAACTCCATGTGGCAACAAGCAGTATTCTTACATCACTCAGCTCTCAGTTAATGTTAGCGTGTTGGTATATTTGCACTATTAAGCATAAAAATAAATATTGCACACATTAAAGTGACCTTAAAGTGTGATCATTGGTATTTATTATTAGAGCTGTTATATTAATTGTATTTTATATATTATATTTATTGATTTGTTTTGCTAAGTAAAATTATATATAATTACATAATTCAGCATCTCTCTCAACTCATAAAATATTTCAAATTGTATATATTTTTTATATTGTTTATCCAAGATCATATTTATGTCCTAGTGCAGTGGTTATCAAACCTCTCCGTGAAGTACCCCCAGCACTGCAAATTTTGTATGTCTCCCTATATCTGACACACCCACTTCAGGTCTTGCAGTCTCCACTAATGAGCTGATGAGTTAAATCAGGTGTGATAGATGAGGGAGACATACAAAATGTGCAGGGCTGGGGGTACTCCAGGACAGGTTTGAGAACCACTGTCCTTGTGCATTTTGGCATCTAGATAGTATGTTTGAAATAGCTGTAAATGTGTAAGCCCTCAGAACCAATTGTCATTTATTTGTAATTCATTTCTTTTAGGTTCTGTGACGTGGAGTTTCACGGCCCTCTCTCGGTACAGGAGGACTGGATCAGGCACCTACAGCAGCACATTCTCAATCTTAACTACAACAAGACTGCTTCACCCGCAAACGACACTCCCGCCCAAAGTGACACTCCTGATCCCAAGCCCCTAGTCTCAGCTGCTACCTCCACGTCAACTACGACCACAGCTCCCGCCACGACCCTGTCCACGCCCTCCCCAAAGCCCACAACTACGCCCACATCAGCTTCCACACCTACACCCGCCCCCAGCCAAGCCTCCGCGGGGCGGCCGGCCACAGCAGAGCCAGTTCCTTCTCCTGCTAATTAGGCCATGTGTCCTTCCTACATATGTGTGAGATGCCATCATCTTCACCAGTTATTTCCATGATTTGTTTCTGTATTACTCATCTTTGATTATTTCAATCTCTGATCAAAGGGAGAGATTTTTCGAAAAATCTCAGCTAGCGACCCACTTACCCTGACCTACATCGCAAGCATCTGTTATGATTCAGGCGTGAGGTAGGTGTGTTGCCATGACAGTTCTCATCTCCCTTTTGTCTCGCAAGGATGGACCGTTATTTATGAACAAGAAAAAGTCACAGTATAATGCAACTTTACATTTGTTTTGTGGATAAGCTTTGATTGTTTCGAAAAGCAGAATGAGTATGTGGTGAGTTCAGTTCAGTAAGCTATTTGGCCCTTATGCCCAATGACTAATATTTGTTGTTTAAAATGAACTCAAAACTGATTAGCTTACCAAATGTATTCTTAAATTGTCGGCAAATCAGAGAATTACAATCAAAACGGCACAGATATAAAGCTCAACCTTAAATGGTTTTACTATGAAGGACTTAAACAAAAGGCCTTGACCCTTTGAAACAAAGCTTATCTGTTTCTAGCATTTGCAAGTTCACAGTTTGTAACTGTTTTAGCTGTGATAATTGACTACAAGCCTGCACTGCCATGCAGTTATCAAAAGATACGAGACGTTCGTTTTAAGCAGACACAGATGGGTTTGTGTCCAAACGGGACATGCCTTTTCTTTTCTGCAGTCCCACTGCAATCTAGACGTTGATAATCTCAGTTGAGTCTTGCCACTTAGAGTTGATGATCAAATTTGTCTGGAACCGATTGCTGCTAAATATTTAAATAAGTTAAGCACACTTAGTTAAATGCATCGTTTTAGCACATGACCAACAAAATGAGCATGCAAATTCTGTCATGCCTTCCAGTTGTATTCAACCATACGTATTTATGCCTTTGTTGCTTTTTTGTATGGCACATTGTTTTGTAGCGCGTTTGCACAAGCTTATGTGATGCTTTGCATAATGCTTTGATGAATCCGATCCTAGATCGCTCCATTTTCTCTCCATTTAATTCTGTGCTTGGCACAAAGTAAACTCTAAATGAAACAGTCGACACAGCTGTCTAAAAGTCTTCTTTGCTGCTTTATAAATGATACTTAAGCTTTCTGAGAAATTGCCTTGGAACAAGTTGATGGCCCGAAGTATTTTATGCTCATAAAAGTCAATTTTTTCCCAGATGCATTTCAAGAGAACCCAAATTATGGCTCATCTGAATGTTGAACGAACTGAAATATTTGGCTACACTACATTTGAATGTTTCACAAGAGTAAAAGGTTAATGCACTTTTATCTGCGAAGAATTAAGGAGTGTTTGTATATATATACCGTATATATATATATATATATATATACACACATATATAGTTTTTGTTTTTCTGAGCATAAAGTGCTAAGTCTATGACAATTTTTTCTTAAAGATGTTTTTCCCTGTACCAATTTGAAGGCATTTTCACAAAAACGTAAACTGTAGAAATTTGCCAGTGACAGAATGTGCCAAAGAGAACGTCACGCATGTCTTGGTAGCTTTAGCTTTTGCAAGTTTTTTGCAAGTCTGTTGTTTTGTCTTTGAGCAGCTGATGGCAGCAGCAGATTTGCTTGAAAAAAAAAAATATATAGCAACTGACAGTTGTACTTTATGAGTATACTATACAAGTACACCATACTCGTGGTGCCAGGAATTGACTATGACGATTTTTACCGCGAATACGGTGACTGCCTCCCAAACATACGAGTGCTTTTGGTTAAATTTCCATATCTGCACAGGAAAGCAATAACAAACTGGTCCACTATGGATGTTTGTTGCAGCTTTCACGACTTAACTCTTGACTGTTAGGCTTTTAGTATTCCAAAAGGGAATATTATTGATATATCTAACCTAAAATATGTATAGGCAAGAAGAAGATATTAACAGTTTAACACTTCAAATGTGATCTTGATCATTGTGAATTTATTTAGATTTTTAATGCTGTGTATTTTTTAATGAGACGTGCGTTCCTTTACTTGCAGTTACATACCAGTGGAATAGATCAGTGTTTTACTTTTTATTCTGTCAGTTTCTCTTTTAAGATACAGTACATTGGTGCTCATGCGGACGAGTGGATGTGAATGGATTTTTAATTGAAGATTGTTCCAAAGGGAGATTGTCAAGTCCTTGCGCAAGGACTCTAAAAACGTGTCTCTTAAATGCAACTGCTCTGTACATTATGTTCTTGGTTAGTTGGGTCATTTTGTGACTGTTGCCCAGTTGGCATGTGCTTTACAGCTGATGGTGTACGTTCTCCTAAAGATCTCCTCAGCTGGTTTAGACTGCGGTGTCTGTACAAGTATTTGTGTGTATGAGAGAGACGAAAATACTTTTTGTGGCTGAAAGAGAGAAATGCCATGGAATTGTTGACCAGAGGAAGATTCGTGTGAATCTGCTCTTGAATGAAAATCATTAAATGTGATCTGAAATCTCAGTGAGTTGTGCACGTATCATTTTTTGATTCATAACACAGGAGGATGATCAACAATGCCGTAATTTCATTGGACGGAGTACAGCAACATTCTTTCGCATGTCTTATCAGCGCTGGGACTGTTGTAAACAGTACGATAGCAAAACAAACTGCTGGCAAATGGTTAAAGTTGACGCTATGGGAACACAGTGATAACAAGCTTCCTGAGCTGCTGTACTATATTTGTAAAATGCATGCTGCTTTTCATGAATAGGGCACAAATGCCATGTTACTTTGTTAGATAAACTATTACGTGAAACTAGCTTGCCATGGCAAATTGTACCCAGGATGTAGGCCAAAATCAACATGGTGATTTGGTCTGTCCAGTCTCAGAGGTCTTGGACCTTATACAGCAGTTAAAATCATACATCATAATTTTAACAATCTGTTTTGTTATTCATTTTATTGTGATCAAATTTGCTAAAGTAAAAATTGTTTTCTATACAGACAAATAATATGGTCTTTGCAATTTTTGGTTTTTACACCATTTGTTGTGTTGACATTTGTCAAACTCAACCATTTAAATCTGTTACCAGAAAAAGGTGATTTAATCGATTTGTCAAGTCTTAATATTATGAACCAACATTTAGTCTACTAGCTAGGCTAGTTTAATGTAAGCTAAACCTTTGACCCAGTTACCCATTCTGGTGTATTTTACTTTACTTTACTTTACTTAATTTACTTTTATCTTAGTATCTTATTTTATTTTGCACAGTATGGCAATTTTGGTATCACTTAACAATAAGGTTCTATTTGTTGACTAGTTAATTACATGAACTAACAATGAAAAATAGTTCTAAACCCTTTATAAATCTGTTATTTTCAACATTATTATAATCAAAAGTTGTATCGATTAATACTCTTTAATGGACTAACGTTAACTAATGGTGTCTTGTTGTAAAGTGTTACAACAATTTCTTTAGTTATTTTTACTGGTTAACTGATTATTCTATTTTGTTTTTAAGTTAAGAAAGGTGAAGTAATATTTTTGTCAAGTCTATAAATATTATGAACCAATATTTAGTCCTAAACCAGCTATAGGCTCTATTGAGTGGCAGTTTAATTTATGCTAAACTTACCTTTTATTGCATTTTATTGTATCGGATGGCATACATTTTTAAACATGATTTAGATATGTTCTCATACCATATAAAATAAAACCCCTCATATAGTCTGCCCTCCTGAGGTTGGCTTTCACAAAAAGAAAAAAAAAAAAGAATCTAAAAAAAGATAGATAATATATTTTTAGGATTTTTAAAAAGAGTCTCAGACTTTATTTTACACAATATTTATGCTAAGTAAATGTGGAAAATATTACAAACACACACCAGAGGAGGGCGCTATTGAGCTACAGAGAGTAACATATTTAGACTTCTTACTAACCTTATGAATCACGGCCACTAAAGAAATAACGGTAGAACTTTATTTTACGGTGTCATTGTTGCACATGTTACATGTCCTTACTATTATGATAACAATAAATCGTGCATATAATTTCATGTAAGTAACCCTAAGCCAAACCCTAATCCTAACCGGTAACACTTTATTTTAAGGTGTCCTTGTTACAGTGTAATAATAAGTAATGAGTAATATTAATTAAATACATGTACTTATTATATGGTTAGGGTTTGACTTAGGGTTACTTGCATGTAATTATGCTTAATTTTTTTGTTATTATAATAGTAAGTACATGTAACATGTGTAACAAGGACACCGTAAAATAAAGTGTTACCTCCTAACCCTAACCAGTAAGTACATGTAGTTAATTAATACTATTCAGTACCTAAATGTATAATTATGCTGTAACAAGGACACTTTAAATTAAAGTCTAACCGAAATAACCCATTTGCTAACTTAGAATTTACAGTTAGAGTATAACATGGAATATGTTGTCAATATTTTTATTTTTTGTGATGGTATTACTGTAGTTTCTCGTCATAGTTGGATGCCTACAGAAGCTTTTGATGGCAGGAAGTATGGAAAGCATTCCATGTTCAGTGATTTTGTGCAATTGACATTCTCAGATAGAACTGATAAAATGAGGAGTCCAGTTTGACGTCTCTTTAGATAAACATATTTGAGCACATGGCTTTTGAAAGGCTTTAATGTGATAATGGATATTTATGAATTCATGTACTTCTCAGTTTGTCAATATCAAAACGTATACAAAAGACTGTACTCTTGAGTGTGAGCTGTCTGATGTATTATATACATCATAATTATACAGTGTGAAAAATCTTAGGACATTTGCACAAAAGGAAGAAAAGACGCAGACATTTCCCAGGAACCTTGGTGTTAAATGTAACGATAGACGAGCTGCTGTGGATGGGGGTGTATATGGCAAACTGAAACAAACATGAATGCAGACGTAAAAGCCAAACAATGCCAGATCCGAGCAAAGGGGAGGAAACATGGCGAGATGCTATGAGAGATCTGTGTCTGACAGGATGGGGAAATAGCTCAGACATAAACTATACTGACACACTTGTGTCTCTTTTAAGTGGAGAAAAATACCAGTCCTGTGTCTCACATCAGGCGGAAAGACTCAAAGTCAAGGCTAAATCTGATCAAAGACATTGCAAGGAACAAAGAACCACAAGGCCTACTTTTGTGTATTTTTTGCACAGCTTCTCAAAGCAACTTGGTAAAATTATATAACAAGGTTCTATTTGTTAGCATTAGTTAACTACATTTGATAACATGACCTAACAATGAAACATACTAAAAGTTAATCAACAGTTGTATCTCTTAATTTAATATATTATATAATAATGGGCCAGATCGACTGATTTTTATTGAATTATATTTATTCATTTTTTTTAAGTGATCGACGCTGATTGTGATATATGCATTTATTGCATTGTTTTTACAGCGTATCAGCATTATATTGGCCATTATATTCATTTGCTTATACTAAAATGAGACATATGCAAATCACTTATTTTAGACAATATTTTCACAAAATATTGAAAACCAAAAATGTTTATTATGAAGTTTGTCTGTATTCTGGAATTGATGTAAGAAGCAACTAACGCTTCTGTTGATGTCTGCCTTGCCAGTATATCAGTTCACCATGAATTAGTGACCGATTATCAAATAGATATCTTTTGAATTTATGAAGCTTTATGAAACTTTTCTATTGTAGTACTATTTATTTTTTTAATACAGTATAGAAGATAAATTGGCATGTGGATAATATAACTTGTGATGTAATCTCTCACAAAAAGTATAGTTGCAGGAAAAGTTAAGTCTTACAGGTTGTTCAAATCATGTTTTTAGCATGCAAGTATTCATATTGAATCACATTTCAGGAGATTTAAAGGGATAGTTCACCCAAAAATCCATACTTCCATAGTATGGGAAAAATACTGTGGAAGGCAATGGCTACTGTCAACTGTTTGGGTACTTATATTCTTCAAACTATCTTATTTTGTGCTCGGAAGAAGAAAGAAATTCATACAGGTGTGGAACGACATTAGGGTGAGTAACTAATGACAGAATTTAAATTTCCGAGAGAACTGTCCATTTAAATGCTGGTTATGACTGATTTATACACGTTTTGAGATTGCTTTAGTGCTACTTTATGGTGGTTTCTAATGGTACAGATTAGCTGTCTAGTTTTACTACTGAAAAACACTAACTCTTTCTTCTAGCTTGCTGATTTCCTGTCATTATATGTCTTATGAAAGAGCGGTCTGGCATACAGATGTACCACAGGTTTTACACAACTCAAGTGTGCCACACAGCTTTCACAGAACATTGACTCATAAAGCTTTAGCAACGTCTTTGGCAAAGTGTTATAGGTCACAAATGTTTATTTTTGGGAATGTGCAGCCTGTTTTTGAGAATTTGTATGGTCATGCAATTCCAAAAATGTCAATTTTTTAATCCACAAGAAACGCATGGAAGATTTTTGTAATGAACTTTTCATAAAACTGTAGAAATTATGTTTTCAAATGATTACTAAATAAATAAGTGGAGATAAAATTACTATAATATTTACCATAAATATTGTGTAATAAATATTATATATTAAATATTATAAGGTTATAAATTGTCACAATTATTTTGTTAATGTATGCACACAATGCATTTATCATCAAAAGATTCTACATATAATTTGTATATCAAATTTTAAGGCTGATTTGGAGTCGTCATGTTTTCCTTCATAGTGGGTTAGAGATGAGGGATGAGTGGACAAGCTGCTCTAAGTGTTTCTAATAAGCCATCATGCGTTCTCTCTAAGGGCAGCGGGCCGTGTTTCTCTCGATCTCTATCTAATCCCCATCGTTTATCTGCATCAGTTCTTGGCAGCAGAACAGAGGTCTCTGGAGATCTCACTGAGCTGCTAGTGATTCCCTCATGAGACATGCAGAGAGATTCTAGGCATCTTGAAAGATGAAGTTTGCATTGATCCACCAGATTGTCCATCCATGCCTCATATTTGAACCGTCCTATTAAGATTGAGCTGTTGTTCTGCATGCAGACGTACATTACCGTCAATCCCAGATTGTTTTTGTTGCCAGTTCTGATTTAGATGTTAGTATTGGGCTTTCAGAGTTATATTGTTCTGTATAAGGTCATGATGAAGTGAAGCTCTGATGGTTCAGATCCACACAGACTTAGTTTGAATCCTATAGGCACTAGCCCAGCTAACAGGGAACGTTCTCACAACTTTCACTAATGTTTTTTTAAAAGTTATGTAAATGTTAGGACAAAACGTTCTTAAAGTAATGTTTATGGAACATTCTCATAACATTGAGACAAAAAGTTCTTAGAACAACATTTTCACAACATTCTCATGATGTTATTTTTTCTTGATGAATGTTCTCATGTTGAGAGAAAACGTTCTTAGGGGGCGTTCACACAGAATGCGTGGTGTTTGCATCTATGGGCCCTATTTTAACGATCTTAGGGTGCATGGTTTAAAGCGCACGGCGCAGGTGCACTCAAGGCGTGTCCGA